GGGGGGGCGGGGGGGGGAGTTGTTTTGGTTTGCTTCACATCCTCTGTCAGCTTTTCTTTTTTCAAATACTTTGGGGACAATATCGGACCCCAGCACACCTGGATATAAGGAATAGAATGGAGGTCATATTTTATACCAAAACAATGACAAGTCAAAAGTGTACCTTTTTTGTATTGTGTTACTTGTAAGAAGCCAATGTTCACGCTGATATGCTGACCTTTGGGATGTTGGTGACAGGTAAGTAAGTAAAGAATGATTTTTGCTTGGACTATTCAAATATTAAGTTATCTCCATTGAAATCTTATTGTAAAAAGTAAATTAATATGTTTTTCTTGTCTAATTTGAATTGTATCTCTGGAAAAATTTTTTAAATTATTGGCTGTAAGCATAAATAAAATATGAATACACATTCTTAAAAATGAATGAGTCACTCTGACATGTAATAACAAGGAAATCTTTATTATAAGCATATGTCATTATAGTGTTGACTTATTCTCACAAATAAACATTTAATTTGATTTCATGACCTTATATTCCCCAGAACAGTTTGATCGTCCTATCTGCCAGTTAGTTTTTGGGACACCCTCTTCAGGTGTCTGTAAGGTATTGCTTTCTCTCTCTTTTAAAAATAACCACTTTCTTAGAGCAAATCACGGTGTGTAGCGAAATAGCAGAGTACCAGCTTTCCAAAAATGACTGAACATATAAATCAATTCGATCAACTCATTTTTATGATGTAAGCCCTTACCTGTATTTTCTTTGTGATTTACAGGAATTTTTATTGTAGGGCACAGAACAATTTATGTCATCTTTACATTTGTACAACACACTTGCCTTTAATTGGTCCTGTGCAGTTTTATCTAATATGGTGGTTAGGTTCTTAAGTGAGCTTGTGAGGTGAAAATCTCTGAAAGTAAAAATTAAAACCATGAAGATACATTCTTCCACCCTTCTTTCTATGGCCTGTAATTTTTCAGCTGCTTCCACTAGGATGTCACGGAAGCTGTCACCACATACTTGCTGGCTCCAGAATCACATCCCTTTGACAGTGGTCTAGGAGACCCTTCCATTCACACTTATTTCACTGGCATAATACCCTCAAGGTTCATCCATGTTGTTGCAAATGGAAAGATTTCATCTTTTATATGTTTGAGTAGTATTCCTCTGTGTGTGTGTGTGTGTGTGTGTGTGTACACAGCACATCTTTATCCATTCATCCGTTGATGGGCACTTAGGTTGTTTCCATATCGTGGCTATTGTAAATAATGTTGTAATGAACATAGGGGTGCATGTGTCTTTTCTGATTAGTGTTTTCGTGTTCTTTGGATAAATACCCAGAAGTGGGACTGATGGGTCATATGGTACTTCCTAGTGTTTTGAAGAATCTCCATACTGTTTTCCACAGTGGCTGTACCAGTTTACATTCCCACCAATAGTACCAAGCAAAAACAAACACGTAGTTATAAGAACAGAGTAGTGGTTACCAGACGGGACGGGGCAGGGGCTGAGTGGCGGGGTGAAATGGGTAAAGAGGGTCAACTCTATGATGATGGATGGAAACTGACTTGGTGGTGAGAACACTGTAGTGTATACAGAAGTAGAAGTATAATGTGTATTTGAAACTTATATAATGTTATAAACCAATGTTACTTTAAAAATAAAAAGCATTCGCACATTCTTCCAAAGGTTTATGGACCTGCTTTGACTCTTGGGGCCCGAATGTGTCATTCGTTGCCTGTGTGTTGAGTGGCGGGCTCGGCCTCAGGCACTGCTGCTTCTCATCCTCTCTCGCCTCCACCATCCCACCTCCCCTCTCCTCACTCCTCCCCTGTCCTCTCCCTCCCTTACCTTCCCTCTCCTTCCACTTGAGCGTTTTATTTGTGTAAATAAAATATACAATTTCACCTCTACTCTCCTGTTAGCAATAATGCTAATGAAGTAAACCTCTTGAGAAAAATTAGGCATTTTAACACCCAGGAAATAATTGGAGGTCTTTCAAAGTGGAAATGTCTTATACATTTGTCTTTTTCAGTATGTTCTGGGCCCAAAACTTATACAAGTCATTGAAAATGGGAAGGGTTTATAAAAGCATGACAAGGTAGCCATGGCTGTCCTGAATGACTGAGCTGATGAGTGCACGAGAGTCCTGCCAGGGCTGTAGGTCCCACACGCCATGATCACACGAGAGCAGGTTATAATCGAAAATATGGGCCATGGGGCACTTAGAGCTGAAACATAGGTGTCTCCCAACTGTGCTGAGTTGGATTTGTCTGTTTTTGTTTTTGTTTTTGTTTTTTGCGGTATGCGGGCCTCTCACCGCTGTGGCCTCTTCCGTTGCGGAGCACAGGCTCCAGACGCGCAGGCTCAGTGGCCATGGCTCACAGGCCCAGCCGCTCCACGGCATGTGGGATCTTCCCAGGCCGGGGCACGGACCCGTGTCCCCTGCATCCGCAGGCGGACTCTCAACCACTGCGCCACCAGGGAAGCCCGATTTGTCTGTTTTGACATTGTGTCCTTGCTTGTAGTCCACTTGCTGGCTCACATTTTCAGATTGCTTTCATGCAACAAAATGTGCTTTTTCTTATCTGCACATTCTTCATTATATTATCCAATTAAAAGTATTTTGTGTATTTGAACCAAACCTCTAGAGTTTGTGTATTTTAACGTTAAAAGTCAAATCTATATTGACCTATTTTGAAAGGTGGTTGAAATTAAATCCTTAACTCTTCCCTTGGAAGTGCTTATTTTTAATTTCCGCATCGTGTCTGTTTATCAAGTAGGTAGCAAATCTATTAATGCCTCAAAGAGGACCCTAAAGAAACACGACTTGGAATTATGAGATGAAGCTGGATTTTCTTTTCAATATTTACCCTTCTAAAGGGCTTCTCATCTTTCAGAGGAGGACAAGATTTCACTTTATAATGTAACTCTAATATTCCCGTTTAATATTTAGAAACATTGTGATCGACAGAAAGCAAATCTGCGGATTCGCTTCAGACCTTCCCTTTTCCAACATGTTGGTCTGCATTCTTCACTAACAGGAAAAATTCAGAAACTCACGGTTGGTGATTTAATTTTATTTTTCTCATGCACAGACAATTTGTTATCTACTGTATAATCCTTGTTCTTCTTAAGTATAAATGAGCCGTATGTTGTTAATATGTCTTTCCTCCTAGGATAAAGATTACATGAAACCATTACTTCTTAAGATCCATGTAAACCCCCCTGCAGAGGTATCTACTTCTCTGAAGGTCTACCAAGGACATACCCTGGAGAAAACTTATATGGGGGAGGATTTCTTCTGGGCTATAACTCCAGTAGCTGGAGACTACATCCTGTTTAAATTTGACAAGCCAGTCAATGTGGAAAGGTAGGTCATTATTGAAATATAATTTGGTCTTACAATTCAGACCTCTTATTCATAATGTGATTTATGATGGAATTTTTGATGTATATAACACATGTGAGCAGTCAATGAGTCCTAAATGTTGGATTATAAAATACATTTTATGTAACTCAGTAACAGTATGGGTATGTTGCTTACGGATATAATACCAGCATTTAGTATGTTTGATAAATTCTATTGGTATTTCTGAATGTATATTTAGTATACATTTTTAATACTTTTATGTAGAACTCTCCCTCAGAATCCCAAATTAGTTTTCACATCCTTATCCTAGAATATCCCTTAAGATTTGACTGCAAGCTAGTGGATGGCCCAGCAATTTGGTTGAAATGATAAATTTGACAGACTAAGACTATTCCTATTCAGTGCTTTTGCAAGTGCTGGAAGTGCAAGTGCTTTTAGAACACCATGGAAGAATTTAAAACCCTTTTATGTGTTTCAGCATTTCTGTTCACTTTACAAAATTTGGGACTTTTTCTTCCCATTTTTTACTTAACAGTCACAATTCCTTCAATCTTTCCTCAGTTTTGGGTATGTTCCCCAGACTGTCTGTGGCATACTTCCATGTAATCCCCAGAATGTGATGTTATGTCTTCTCCTTTGAAGGCCATTTGGTTTTTAGAATCTGCCAAAAATAATTTGGAATAATTCTGTTTAAGGTGGTCAAAAACAATGCATAGCTATATGTAATGCTATTAATTTTCTTTTGTTACTCTAAACTGATTCTAAAGAGGAATTTAAGTGTAAAAATGTTATAACCAATGGGAAGATCACTGGCAAGACATATTAGAATACTTTTGAGTAACATTTTGCACTTATATGAGTATATAATATTGGTTTTATTGTTGTTTAATGTTCATTTTTATACTATGTAGTGGAATTCTGCTCTGTGAGGTATTGTTCACCACACTTGAGTCCTCATAGAATTAGAAATAGCACTCTTCTTTCACCTCAGCAAGAATAGCCTCAAACCACATTTATGGGTTGATTTTTAGGAAATAAAAATAATTCCATCAAAGAATCTTCTAAAGAGCTCACATATTTGAGATCAAACTTAGTAACAACAAATATATTTACAATAAACCTCTGTAAAATGATATTTATAATGCCCCTACTGAGGGCACTTTTCTAGCGAAACACAATTCTTCTAAAATGACAGTATATATGAATTTTCTTGGAGTCCATGCACAGACCCACCCTTCCTAGGACAGAGAAAAGGGATCATTTGATTTTCACCATAACTTATTTGCTGAGAGGGGAAAAAGCAGAAGTTGTATTTATTAATACAGAAGTGAAGTGTTAGGAAAAAAATTCTCTGTGTAACATATGTATGTGTTCATTATACAAAAATTTTAAGGTGTGAAGAATGAGGAAAAAAATCATAACCCCAAGGATACCATTATGACCATATTGACACTTTTTTTTTCTTGGTAACTGTGTGCACTTTCTACTTTGAGATCGTGGTCTACATGTAATTTTATATCACACATTATCCAATATACTCTGTCATAAGTGATTCACAAGCATGTTAATGGCTGCATCAACAGCAACAAAACACTGTCTTTTTTTTTTTTTTGTCAAGTACATTATTGTTATGCAGCAAACATGCCCTCTGATAGAGGAGCTATTGCATCCTCCTTAGGTTTTAATTTCCCTGCAACTATTCAGAACATATGATGTGCAGTCACTACAGACTTAAGTGTCGTCGACCTTATTCTGAGGTAAGGCCCCCTTCTGAACCTTTGTGGATAGTCTGACTATATTTTTATTTTTATGTTTGTCTTTTCAGTTATTTGTTCCATAGTGGCAACCAGGAACATCCAGGGGATATTCTGCTCAACACAACTGTAGAAGTTTTGCCTTTGAAGGTATGACTGTTTTTTCCCCTAAATTTTCCTTGAGAACCAATATTAATAGACCTGATTTGAGGCTCTTCCTGTTTAAGAAATTCTCATGATAGCAGGGCCTTAGTGGTGAGTAATACCAACTTCTTTTGGCAATATGGAACACCTGGTATATTGTCCCGTTTGCCTTCACAGAAAGAGCCTTTATTTTGTTTCCTGTTGGAAAGTAACTTGGACATTTGTACTGGGAAAATAAATGAATCATTATTTTACTTTAACGTTTACTTGCTGTTTGTATTTTGAGTCCCAAAATACCATGCAGTTTTAATGCCTGTTGAATAATGTAGAAAGTTAATTTATTGGTCTCTAAGGAATGCTTAATTTCTTTCAAGGTAACACACAGTTCTTTACTTCTGTATATTTTTTTTTTTTTTTTTTTCTTGCGTTATGCGGGCCTCTCACTGTAGTGGCCTCTCCCATTTGCGGAGCACAGGCTCCGGACGCGCAGGCCCAGCGGCCATGGCTCACGGGCCCAGCCGCTCCGCGGCACGCGGGATCCTCCCGAAACGGGGCACGACCCCGCGTCTCCTGCATCGGCAGGCGGACCCTCAAGCACTGCGCCACCAGGGAAGCCCCTGTATATTTTTAATAGAAAACAGCATTCTATTAAATTGATTTAAACTGGAAATTAATTAAAATTAAAAATTTCTAGCCAGCAGTATATTATATACAGATTCAGATGGAGCACTTATACTGATTGATAAACCTTTCAAGGTTCAAGACTGACATGGCATTTTCTCTTTTCAGAGATAGCTGTGCCACAGATGCCACTTTTATATTTATTAAGATATATTAATAACCTAGATTTGTTTTAAATAGAAGTAATTATTTATAAGATGTTTTTGTTCTGTTTTAGAGTGAAGGTTTGGAAATCAGCAAAGAAACCAAAGACAAACGATTAGGAGATGGTTATTTCAGAATAGGTAATACCCACTTGAAACTAGTAAAATGTCCTTTACTTTTTAGGACTTAGCCCTGAAGTAATTTGAAGTTCTTTTCAGTTATTCAGCAGCTTCAGGATTATAAATACCAGTGTACTCTTTTATTTGTTCTCTGTGTTCTAGTACATACTTTTATTCTTATCTTGACCCAACTAGGGTTTCAGATCAAAGGTTCATTTCCTGGTTCCTCTTTCTCTCTTCATCTGCTGCTGCACTGTTGTCACTGGTAGATAATCCGCTTTCAGCTGCCTCCTGCAGTCTCGTACTGGATGATCTTAGCTGGCTGCTCTCATGATCCCAGCAATATCCGTATGCCGGAGTCTGAGCCTTTAACCCTGCCTCCCTCCTGAGCTTTAGATCTGTACTGAGATGCCAGCTGACAAACTACGTGGAGGCCACATAGCCATCTACCCGGAGCGTCTGTAAATATGGACATTTCGTCTTTGGTCACCATGGTTTGTGGTGTCACGATTCATCTGGCTGCCTGAGTCTAACCTTGGGAGACACTCTGAAACCCCGCACCCACCTTCACTGTCCATTAGCATGAAATGTCTATTTGTGTCTGAATGTGTACTCACCCTACTGCAGCGATACTCTGCCTCTGTTTCCGAGCCAGTCCACCGAGCCGCTGTAGCTCCCTTGCCAAAACCTAAATGCTGTATTAACCTGGCTGAAAACCTTAATGACCTTCCGTGATCAGATTCCTTAGCTCCCACCCACTTTCGTATCTTGTTACTTTCCTCTTATGCTTCATCTCTCCAGTCCTAAGATGTGTTCCTCTAATGCCCTGTGCTCCCAGCCGTGTCCCTGTCCACTTTCCCCGCCTGAAACGATGGATTGGTATTTCTCCTCCTGATGAATGCTTTCTCATCCTTTATTAACAAGTTTAGCTGCCTTCTCCTTGGCTCTTCTTACCACAGTGTGTGCACCTGTTCTGTGTAATCACGTTCCGTAGCTCAGTTCTGTGCGCTCACCGTGGAAGGGGGAGGGGGCTTTGTTGCTCAAGCATCGCCTGTGATTAATGTAGGACCTGTCCTTTGATGGACATCAACTCAGTGGATGATTATATATTTTGTTTTACTTAAATTAATGCTTTTCCTAGTGGTAGGCAGAAGAGATTATTGGGCAATTAATATTGTAGGTATACAGGACAGAGGCATTCTTATAACTCTCTCAAGCAGTTTTATGTTGGGTGAATGTCATTCAGTGTTTGCTACAAGGCTTGTACAATCAGCCTGACTAATTTCTATATAGCTTAGTGGATAGATGAGTTTAATTATTTTCATATTTGGGTTATATTTTAGCCCACCCTAGAAATGTTCATAAGATTAGCTGTGTATATGAGACATTTATTAACCCTATTACCTATGAGTTATTAAATTTCTGAGAATGTTGTGTTCTAGGTTATGAAAGTAGCATAGGAAATAGAGACATTTATATGATTGCAGTAATTTGAAGATAATGACCATCTAAAACATCAACTCATACATATTTAGAACTGGAAGAGAACTGATGGGTGATCAGACCTAGGACCTTGTGTAACAAAAGTGTGCATCAGAAACAAAAGCAGCTGATTTTTTTTTCAAGTTCATATAAAAAAATTCTGCTCCCTTAAGAAGTATGCTTTAGCTGAATGGTGTCTGAGGGGCTCTGCAGACCTTTTTCTCGCGAGACAACCATAACTGGTGAAAGGTAGTTTTTTTAGAAAAGTACAGCAAATAGAGAAACATTAACTCGTAAAGTCTGAATCTCAGTAACAGCATTAAGAGTCTGTGGCATTGGAGCCCTGACCCGCTCATTACCCATGCTGGCCAAGCTCAGTGACTCGGAAGCTCTACTCTGCATGTCCAGCCAAAAATACGGACTCCCTCTCCCACCATCCCCCACTCCAGGGCTGCGGTATCTCACCAGGAAGGGCAGGCCACCAGCAGCTGTCACCTCCCCAGCTCCCTGTTGCAGAAGCTCTGTTCCAGACATGAGCAGCTTAGAAATCTGAGGCTCCTTTCCTCCACCTAACTTCCATTCATTGGGCAAACCTTTGCTGCAAGCACGGCAGCGTGAGAGTCCTTGGCCCTGATCACCTCCCCCAGCCCACTGGTCCCCGCACACTGGGAGAGGTCAGCCAGGACACGAAGGGCTACTGCTACAACCCAGTGCTCTGCTTGTAAAGCAGGGGTGTCACTTTAGCAGGGAGGTGGGCTGCTGTCCCTGCCAGGGGTCCTGAGCAGTGGTGCAGAGATTTTCTCCAGGGGAGAGGCAGGCCATCAGAGAGCTCTGTAGCGCACCCTAAGGGGACTGCCTTACTTGAAACAGAACTTGGGGAAGTTCAAGCCCAAGGGCGCTGTGGAACGTGATGGAGATTTTGGTGGTAAACAGTTAGGAGGAGACTGGTAGCTACATTCAAGCTAAACTGTAGCCCATCCAGAAGTTTGACACAGAGAACCAGAGAAAGAGGTAGCTAGTAAGAGCCCTCTTGGGTGGGACAAGCCGCAAAGACTGGCGCTACAAAGGGGCCTGGATTCAATAGGATCAGACTATGCAGCAACTTATGCCCAAAGGCATATTGTCGGAAACAGTAGACAACCAGCTGGCAATTAGTAGAGACCTGATGGGTGAAGGTGGGGTTGGCTGGATGGGTGTGGCATGGTAACTAAGGACAGTCCTGTGAAAGAAATACCAGATTTATTAGTAGGTTAAAAGTATGAGACAGCAGAAGAAGAGCCTTTCACAGAGAAACACTGGAAGAAGGAATGGACCACCGTCTGGGTAGCAGAAGGGCGTCCACGGAGGGCATGACCTTGCAAGTCCCTCCTAATGCCAGGGTTTGGGGATTCCAGTCACTCTTTAGTCATTTCCTCCTTCATTTCCCCCTTCTTTTTTATCTCTTAATGCTTACCTACCAGACCATTGGGTTCAGGACAAAAGTTAAATTTGTTGTTTGGAAAGTTAATACATGTACATGGTACCAAATACAAATTTAAGAGGGTAAACTTGTCTCCTTCCCTCTTCTTTCCCCTCCTACCCGGTGCTTCCCAGAGGCAATTGCTATAATGATTTGTATTCTTCTAGAAGTATCTATTCATAAATAAAAATATTTTAGTATAGTCTTCAAAAACACACAATCACACATACATGGTAACATACTCTACAACCTTGTTCTAGATCTTGTGTTTTCACTGAACAAAATACATATGGGCATATGGAAGATGAACATTTTTTAAAAATTGTAAATATTTCAGATACACAAAAAGATACAACTAATAATGTAATGAATGTCAGTGTCTGCAGCTTAAGATTTGCAAGTTCAGTTGCTCTTCCCTAATTATCTTCTTTCCCCACCCAGCCAAGGGTAACTACTATCCTAAATTTTGTGGTTACCATTTCCGTGTATGCTTTTACTACATATGTGTGATATATCCCTGAGTCATGCAGCCTTATTTTGCTTGTTTCGAAATTTGATATGAATGATGACATTCTGTAGTCCACAGTTTGCTTTTTTCTCTCACCATTGTGATATTCAACCATGTGGATGTGTGTATCTGTGGCTCATTCGTTTTCACTGCTGTATTGATCTCCGTGGATGAATATATTGCTGTCTGTTCTGTTTGGTCATAAAGTGTGTTTCCATCTTTTTGCTGGCCTGAACACTTAGGCACATGTATGAGAGTTTCTCTACAGTGTATTCTTAGGAATGGAAGTAAGTCACAACTGCATTATCTACAACTTTACTTCGTTCTTTCTATTCTTTCTTCAGTCTTTTAATGGGCTGCCTAATATTCCCTTGTATTAGCATATTGTAATTAAATTAGCCAGTCTCCTAATCATGGGTACTTAGATTGTTCACAATCTTTGCTGAAGTCTATATATGCTTTTTGCACATGTGAGAGTATATCTGCAGCATAAAATTGCTGGGTGAGAGTCTTTTAATGAGGCCAGTTATATAATTTGCTAATTATTTTTCTAATTAAATGAGCTCATCAGGTGATAGATTCAGATACATTATAAGTTAAAATGTTTCAAGTTCCACAGCATTTTTCAGCCCTGAATTCCCTTCCTAACTCAATATTAAATAATACTTTTTTTGTAGCATACATTCCCTACCCCAGTCTAGCACCAAATAAGGACATACTTTTATGAAATAAATATTAATTTTTTAAATAAAAACATTACTTTGGCAGTTCATAAGTTGAATATTTCCTGTACAAATGAAAATGGACTTTCTCCAGTATGGTTTTTCAATTTGAATGTACCTTATCTTACTATGAGCCTAGTCAATATATTTTAAGACTCTAGAATTGACACATAATTTAACGGTTAGCTATCGATAGCCCATGGGCCAAATGTGGCCCACTGCTTGTTTTCTAATAGCCTGTGAGTGGAGAATGTAGAAATTTTTTTCATTGTTTATTTTCATTTTTAAATGGTTGAAAAAATAAAAAGAATAGTAATATATTGTGACATGTAAAAACTAGAAAATATTCAAATTTCAGTGTCCATGAATAGAGTTTCTTTTAACACAGCTATGCTCATTTGTTTACGTGTTGTCTGTGTGCTTTTATGCTACAACAGCAGAGATAAGTGAGCAGTTGCAAAAGAGATGGCGGTGGTGTTCTCAGTGCTTTGAATTGATGCTCAGTGCACTACAAATAGCTTTGATGCATTATAATTTGACAGTGTTTAAAGTGCCACACACATAACTCTACTGTGACATTTAAAAAAAAATTACCAGTGATTACCCTTCATGTCAAAACAGGAAGAGAAAAGTGGACTTTGAATGTTGTGCTTTTTAACACAGTGGAATATGGGTTGTTTTACAAAATTAGATGGCAAGTTCTGTGGTTATTATGCAGTGACACAAGAGCTGTGCTAAAGAGTATGTTACCACTACTAAGCACTCACAACAATATCCCCAACTCACAGGAAAGCAATGGTCAGAAAAATTAGAAGATTTAAAATATGATATCTCATCACTGAGGATTTCTTCACAAAAATAAAAGATTCAAATGAGACTGTAACCAAAGTGAGTTTCAGACTGGCTCATGTGTTAGCCAAGCAAGAAAACCATTTACCAATGATGAGTTAATTAAATCATGTTTAACTACAGCAGATATGTGTGCCCAGAAAATAAACTCATTTCGGACCATCAGACTTTCAGCAATAACTATTACTTGAGGGGTTGGGGACTTTGGGAACAATATCAGTAATCAAAAAGCAATGCAAATTATTTGAGCAGTTTTCCTTGGCTCTTGGTGAGTTGACAGATATTACTGACACTGCCTAGTTGTTATTTGGAGTCAATGCCAGGTTTGAAGTGACTGAAGAATTGGTCTCTGTGAATAGTCTGTAGAGAACAAGTACAGGCAAGAATGTTTTCAAACCAGTTGAGAAAACACAAAGTTCATACAAACTGAAGTGGAATCTGCTAGGATGTTTTACAGTGAATGGTGGTGAAAATATGTGTGGAGCAGAAGCCTTAGATGGACAGATTTACAAAGCTTGCAACAATGTAAGGTGTTTAAAGCCTATGGTTATGTCATTATTCATCAGCAGGTGCTTTACAGAGAGTATTTGAGTCTGTCATGTATCATTAATTTATTGAACCAGTAGTGTTGCCAGTGAACTTTACTTACTCTCATTGACTGCATCAACATCAGTTCTGTGAATTTTTGTCAGAAATAAGAACTGAATATCCTGAGTTGCCCTGCCACACAGCAGTTCTGGGGCCTAGCAGTGATAAAATTTTATTGTGGTTTTTTGGTTTTTTTTTGGGGGGGGGGGTTGTTTTATTTTAGCTCTGAAATAAGATTGAAAATTTTCAAAGTGAGAACTGCCCTCGGCCACTATTATCTCTTTGAGAATTAGTTTTTGTTTCAGACTTGATTATGTTTCTTATTTTTCAACCTAAAAGTACAAGACAAAGCAGTGCTTATGTGCAAAACTTACATTGCATTGAGGTCACTTTGGTGACTATTAACGTTATTCGAACTGCAAGTAATAATATCAAGCTAATTGAGGAGCTTCCCTCAACCTTTGATTGAAAGTGATTCATCTGCAATGTAATGATGAGGCAGATTATCAAAGAGAAGAATCTAATAGAATTTTACGCAGATACCTTCCAAGTCATGGACATGCTCCATTAAAATCATGTGCTTGTGGATTAATAACAATATTTGCAGTATCTAGGCTGTGTGAAAGGAAGCATTCAAGATAAAATATATCAAATCTCATTATAGATCCACATTAACAGATGAACATTTGCAATCGATTTCGATGATAAGGAACACTAACTTTGAATACCAGTTAATTTAAGTATTATTTCCCCCATAAGGAATTACATGCTCCTTAGTATTAGCAGAAAAAAAAAAAACTTAGTTGTTTTTACATTTTGAATTTCATCAATAAAAATTTTGTGAAAATTAGTTTTCTCTTTTTCTTTACAAGTACCTGGATGATATTTTCAGATGCCCTCTTGACCCACAAATCCCCAAATATTCACTATCTGCCCTTTTTAGGAAGTTTGCCTGTCCCTGGCTTAGAGCAGTGTGGCTCAGAACAAACCATTTTCCTGTCACTTTTTCAGTAGTATTTTTGTTTTGTTTTCTTGCTGTTTCCTTATAGCAAGAAAAATTGAGTACTGAGCATGTTATCTTCTATAGAACTTCTTGGTCCTTATCCTTACAGGAGAGCTTCTTGAGCTTGTCATTTATAATGGAGTTTTATGTTGGAACTGCCTTGAGGAGGTATCACCTTTTAATTCCATCTAGATGTGACCTTGGAAACTGCTCAAGGCCAACAGTTGTGAGTCTAATTAAAGCACTGAAATTTGTTACTGTTGACTTAATCCTCAAAGTGATCAGACTGAAAGATGGTACAGAGTGTATTCTGTAAGGTTTGTAAGTCACATTTTGCTAAAAACTTGTGTTAGTTGATGTAAGAACAAATATATTTGTGTTTTTTTTTAATTTGCAATAAGAAAATATATAGCTCTGCCTCTTTAAATAGGTTGCTTCTAATGTTTTTAAGCATATAATACTTCATGAAACGTTTAAAAGTTGAATAAAGGTAGAAGGAAAAATTTCACCCATGCTTTTTGTGTAAAAACATCCACTAGAAATATTTTGGTGTTTTCCTTCCCTGCTTTAAGTCAGTGATAATTTATGTGTGCTTGTTTCAGTCTACCCAATGAGTGTTGATTTTTACTTTGAAGGGACATTTGAGAATGGTGTTGCAGAAGGAATGGTGGATCCCAACCTAAACCCCATCTCAGCATTCCGACTTTCAGTTATTCAGAATTCTGCTGTTTGGGCCATTCTTAATGAGGTAAGACAATATATTAAATCAGTGAAACTGCTTAGATTCTACATTTTTTTACAGCATTTGGATTTCATAATTAAGACCTTTTTGGAATTGAAAATTGCCATTTCATGCTGTTCACTATCTTGTATTTCAGATTCATATTAAAAAAGTCACAAACTGACTATCTCCTGAGAAACCAACACATTTTTTCCCTGTGAATTTGTTGATTAAAGATGGCTGAGCATGTACCGTATTTTGGTAACTTGAATTCTACCTCTTGTGAAATCTACTGTAGATAAGATGATTGTCATTTCCACTTGGAAAATGAATCTTCCATGGATAATTGTATTCATTCGAACCTAAGCTGTCCTCCAGTTTTAACTTGACTCAGACATTTTACAGTTATGACAGCCTGTTAATATGACTTGTACTATTTTGGTATTATACTAATACATGAGTTGTACATATTGTTACATTCCTTAAAATTTGAGAAAAATTAATGTTAAATACGTTTTATGAAGGGGGTACTTTTGAAGTTCATTTATTTTAATATTATAGACCCTCTTTTATAGATTATCAGGGATTATATATATATATATATATATATATATATATATATACACACACACACACACACACACACACACACAAATATACATAAAATGCTACGGAGTTAATTTATTAGAAACACTTAAGAAGTACATATTTTTGTGCAGTAAATTTTTGAATCAATACTTCTTTTGAAAACCAGTTACCTTGCTTTTTTAAGTTCTTTCTACATTTTTCTTTGGAAATGCAAACGTTACAAGTTAATGCCATTTTTCAAATGTACTGCCATTTAAGAGTGATTCCAGATTGATTTCCTAACTGAAGTACTTTTATAATCACAGTGATTCTGAACAAAATACTTTCAAAGGCATTTGTCATTCCTTAAAGCCAAGATTTTAAAGACCAATGTCCTTTTTGAGGGTTATTTTACTATACTATGTATGGTGTGTAGCCACAAAAAATCAGTCTGATAAATTTTAATGTGCAGGGGTGATGCCTTCAACCCAAATTATCATAGACTGAAGTCATTATATTTCCTTTGATATGTAAAGTGACGCACTCTTCTAATCTTTGTCTTTAATCTACGAATTAGAGGCATTTTCTCTTTCCTTGATGCTTTTATATCTGCACTCACTTCGTGAGTTCTGACAAAATGTTTTCTAGGTAATGCTGTTGTATGAGTCATAATTGGTTTAATTTTAAAGGAAAACAAAATTGTAATGTCGGTTGTTTGGTGAGAGGTATTGTAACAGTTGTATGTTTTTCCAAAATTATTCTATTGCATTATGAACTTGTAAGTAAATTCACATCTGAAGAGTATTTATTGCTCTTAAACTTGCAATTCCAAATGTTATCACTACTATAAACAAAAATATTATCAGCCTTAGCAATCGGTGATCTTTACAAAAGTCTTTTACTTTTACAAAATTATGAATTATCAACATCAGTTCCCAACCAGCCTGGTGTCCTCAGGTGGGTTGCAGGCGGTTACAGGTGTGCAGAGCTTGAATCTCTTGAGCTTTCAGAGTAGCCAGTGGCTGAGGCCTCTGGCAGCTGGAGGTTCTAGCTGGTTGCCTTTAGCCTGGAGGAGCGTCACCTGGTTACCCAGCAGGCTGAACAAACAGCTTCCAGACAGCCTCATTTTCTGTGCAGGGTTATGCAGTGAAAAAGGTTGGGAAACACTGATAGGGTACAATTATTTCCATTACTCCGTATTTGAATAATTCTTAGCTACGTCTCTTGATTAAAAAGTTACATGTTGCCAACAATGATTTATGTCGGAGTCCAGTTAAAAATTTTTATTGAGGTTTTTAAATATTACTTTTTATTTTCTTTAATTTACGTTTTATTTCCTTCCCAAATCTCCTTGGCCCAGCACCTAACAGGGAAATGTCACTGCAAAAGCATAAACCTTTCATAACATAATTGTGGCACCAGCTTCACATACTAAATGACTTTTGTAACAAATAAGTATCAGGAGGTAAAAATCTGGAGGAATCCCCTTGTTTCCCTGCTTCCCAAGTAGCTAACTCTGATTTGAGGAAGAAAGGCCACGCTCTGAGAGCCTAGGGAGGTGACAGTAATTGCAGCTCCTGGCCATTGGGTGTCTCAGTCTTGAGACTGAGCCTTACTTACCCAGCCAGCTTTGTCCTGTTTTTGTGCTCAGTCTCCCCTCCCAGGCTTAGCTCATCCCTCCTGTTCCTGAGAAGACTTTCAGCCAAATCTTATCCATCTTTCAAGGACTCTCCTGTGCACTCCTTCCTCCCCATGGATTTGTTACCAGTGCCTCGTTGAGCCCAGAACAGTGCCTGACACGTGGCAGGTGCCCAGGCAGCGTCTGGGGAAGGGGACCAACTGTTCCAGCCCACACTCCTCTTTTTCTTAACTCTCTTTACCTACTGTCCTTGCCACACACTCACACACACACTCAGCTGTCTACTTTGTTTGTGGCGAGTGTGTGTGCACATACACGTAATCACTCTGTCCAAATGTCAAGCTCCTGCAGGCAAGCCTGTAAGTCATGCTTCCTAGCTTCCTCTGCTGCACAGGTGCTCACGGACCCTCATGTTAGCTGCGCTCTCCTTTCCCCCAGTTTCCACTAGACAATTAGAAGCACCCGGGCTTGCCTCAAGCAAGCGATTACAGTGGTTGCCCTTAAGAGTCATGTTAGGGACTAAAGTATTGGGACACAAGATGAGGGGACCTGGAACGAGAGAAGGTACATACTTGACCTTGAGTGGACACTGAACCACTTTTACCCAGAGTGAGTGGGGAAAAGTACAAATGACGGGACTGATTTTATTTTCACATATGTATATGGCATCATGTCTCTGGAGCTGCCCTGTCCTCTACAGTAGCTACTGGACACAGGGTGGCTATTTAAGTTTAAATTAATAAAACATTCAGCTCCTCAGTCACACAGCGCCCTATGGCTAGTGGCCACTGGGTTAAACAGCACAGATATAGAACATCTCCATCATCACAGAAAATTCTGTAGCACAGCACTGTGTCAAGAGTGCTAATATGAACATTTTAGAATCCAGAATAATGAATTCCCATCATGAGGCTAAAAGCAGACATGCAGAATATATCGTAGTGCAAACGATGATGAGTATTTCAGGTGAGAAGAGAAGGTTGAGGACCTAATTCCAGGATTCTAAGATCCAGTTTCTAAGTTCTTTAAGTCTCATGCGTTCTTTACAGCATTCACTGTCCCTACTATGTAGTCCAAAAAGAGTGACAACTTGAGGATGAGGTTCCAAAACTTGTGTGATTGACCAGCTTTGGAAAGTGTGAATGCACATGGATTTAGCACACAGCCTCTAGACATGTACGTGAAGGTTAATTCGGCTGCTGGAGATGTCTTTGAACAAGCTTTTTAAGTCAATTGCATTAGTAAATAATTAGAAGGTGTTATTTTAAAAACTTCAGCAACGCTAAGGAGGCTTCTTTTTAAATATGTCATAATAATGAAAAAAGTTGTCTTCCAACAATGCTGTCCTCAAAGACAAGTGTGGTTATATGGAAACAGCATGTTTGGAGAGATTGCTCTAATTAATAGCAGTGAATGTTGGTAGCAGCCAGAATTCCATGGGTGACCCCCTGCCCAATGACTTTGTATATCCTAACCCTTTGAGTATGTGTGGAACCTGTGAGTATGATCCATAATTATGTTGTACAGCGAAAAGGAGATTATCTGGGGACAGCTAATCTAATCAGGTGAGCGCTTTAAAAGCGGAGTTTTCTCAGGCTGTCAGCAGAAGTCAGATTCAAAGCAGGACTTGCGGCACCATGGCTGGTTTAAGATGGAGGCGGCCGCATGAGAAGGAATGCAGATGGTCTTAAGCTGAGAGGCCCCAGCTGACAGCCTAGAGAGTGGAAACTGCAGTCCTGCAGCCACAGCAACTGAACTCAGCCACCAACCGGCAGGAGTGTGCAGGTGGACTCTCCTCCAGCAGCTAAGAGCTCAGCCCCACCAACGCCGGATCCCAGCCACGTGAACCTCTAAGCAAAGAGCTCAGTCCTGCCTGCCTGGACTTCTGGCCTACAGAGCTGTGAGATAATAAATGGGTGTTGTTTTACCCTTGTAAATTTGCCGTGATTTTATGCAGCAATAGAAAATGAGTATGATATTTAAAAGAGGTGAAGCGGAGAAGGCGTCCTACTTGATTCCCTCTGGTATGTTGGGTATTTCTTGATAAACTTATGAATAAAGTCTTGCACTAGCAGATCATATACACAGGCCTCATCTGGGATTCTCTCCCAGAGACCTCAGTTAATCCTTTTTGGCAGGTTGTTGGCAAAAACTTGCAGCACCTTTGTAGCGTTTCATGAAGGAACCGCTAGCATGAGATTGCAGGAGCAGGATCCAGTGAGTAAGGGATCTTTTTCCTGGAATAGGTGTCACTTTATGTTAATTTAGGCTGCTCTGAGCCTGTCAGTTATTTAAGAATGAGGAACAGTGATATTTTAAGTAAGACATTAACAGAAAAAAAATATTTACGCTTTTATGTAGAGACCAAATAATCTACTCTGTATTGAAGGACTCTTTTTTTTTTTAACCAAAATTTATAGTCTAAGCACAGATCAAATCCTATACGTGCTGACCAAATTTTTGTACTTAGGGAATACTTTTCAAAATGCTTCTCTGCTTCCAAGCCATTAATTGCTAATGAAGTTTAATTTTGGTTTGTCCATTACTTTTTGTGCTTCTTTTACTATATTGCTATAGCCTTGATATAAGAAAAGTTGAGCTAAAAGAAAGAAAATGAGAGGCTGACATTATTGAAAGGTCAGAAATTTGAGTCATAATCATATCTGAGGTCCTAAGAGAACTTTGACATCTGATCTCTTTAAAGAAAAGGAAACTTTTCAAAGCTATGTAGCAGTGTTTATAGTGTATGAAATTTAGTTTGATAGTTGTAAATTATTAATCTTAACAGATATATGCCATGATAACTAACATGCTTACTTTATTCCTTCAATGCATGTGAACCTACAGTGCTGAAGAGACCACTACTACAGTATTACTAAAAAACAACAACAAAGGATTTATTATATATATACATATATATACCCATATCATCAATGCTTATATAGAAACTCTTCTCTTCTTACCTGAAACACGTGCTTCACCTGTTTGGGCACTAGCTAGAGCATTTCCAGAGGAATAAACAAGAAAGAGCTGGCACTCCAGTTATGTGTGAGTTGAGAATTTAGATGTCGTTCAAAAACGTGAAATGAATGTTGAATGGGAAACACTTTGTGCGGAAAAATGTTAGCAAGAGTGGTGCTAAAATTGTTCTAAACTAAGGATTGTCTGTTGTGGGGAACATTCAGTACTCTTGGACACTAGGGAAGCTGTTTAATATGTCACTTGCTCCTAGTGGCTTCATGGTATTAGTAATTAGCAAATTGCCCTGGAATCAAAGGTTTGGTACTTTAGTTTGATTAGCATTCCATTATTTATTTGAAATACTCAGTGTTGGCTGAAGTTGGGTGAAAA